GTGTGTGTGTGTGTGTGTGTGTGTGTGTGTGTGTGTGTGTGTGTGTGGAGGAGGAGGAAAGCTGAAGTGACTGGTTGTATTGATGAGCTTCAAGAACTTAGGTTTGTGTGAATTCGGGTTATCAGAGGATGTATGGCTTTGATTATTTCCAAAGGGACGTTTGTTCCTTGGCAACACTAGGACTGCTTTGGGCACTAGTTAGTCTTTTTCGTTCACTTCTAAGGTAACACTCAAACCAATAGTTTCTGTGGTTTGTAGACCATATTTTGGTAGTAGGGTCTTAACTGGAGCATGAAACACAGTTTATCTAAATGGCCAGCAGGGGGAGCAGTGATGTCAGAGCTGAAGTCTTTGGACAAAGTGATGGTCTGTCTGGTGAGGTTATGAAAATTTTGACCATTTTAGTTATTGTAAAGAAATTCACAATGACATGAACCACTTAAATTATTTTAATAATTTTACTTTCTCCCAAGAGTATGAAAAGATATATAGGGGTTGTAAACTGTATAAGGTCAATAGAGATTGTTTGTTTCTTTGTACTTTTATCCCTAGCACAGCACCTGGCACATAGAAAGCATTTAATAAATGCTTGTTGATTGATTATGGACGGGTCTGGACTGCTGGTGTTTTGCTTTCTAATGTCTGATGTGAACTCTGCTCATGATGGGCATGTGTGAGATAAAGATGTCTGTGCTGTATGGGCTCCCTAAAAACTGAAATGTTTTCTTGGATTGCTTCCAGCCAGCAGTTTAAAAGTCCTTTTCCCCTGGTCTTGCTCTTTTGTTGCTTCTTCTAGAAGTGGCAAGTTTGTTTCTGGCACTTCCGTTCTTGAAGTCACTTTTGATGCCTGTTTTGCATGTTGCCATTTCAGGTGGAGGCAGACTTACTGCTCTGCAGCCAGGAGTTTCAGGGAAACCCTGACACAAGTCAAAAAGGCCCATAAAATATGACTCTTAAGTATACTTCCTTCGATGTGCTATAGCTTGCCATAGACAGTTGAAAAAATAACTGTGTACCAAATCTCCATTTGCAATTGTTAGTTCCAACTAATCCCTTCTCCTGCCTTTCCTTCAGATACTGAGGATGCTAGTGAAACTGACCTGGCAAAGCATGATGAGGAAGATTATGTCGAAATGAAGGAACAGTGAGTAGTATACAACTTCTTCTGGTATTGTTTTGGTATTTCTTTCCTGTGGTTTGAAATGGACAAGAAATCTGATTTAGAAATCTGTATTTTGCCTATATTTGAGTAACTTGGTCAATTTAGTTTGGGTAGAATATGTTTGAATTTGAAAAAAGAAAAGAATCTTCCAAAGACGGGGTTATTTTTTTTCCAATGACAATGTAGAATGTTAGAGCTTTATCCTTACAGATATTCTAACATTCCTGTTTTATAGTGGAATCAGGACCTAGAGAGAGTAAGGGCGTCTCCAGGGTTACATAGTTAATCAGTACCTACATATCTATGTTTTTTCCTGCTTTAACTTTTTTATATTTGGTTCACTTTCATTTGGATGATAGAAGCAGGGAGATTATTAGTTATTATTAGTTGTCCTGCAACAATGTTCCCTTCCTCTCTACATTAGGATATGTTATATTCCAGTAGAGTAAAATCTTTGGTAACACCCAGCTCTGCTTATCACCTCCAGGTAGGACTCCATTGAAATCATTCCAGAATAATTAAAAAATGAATTCTGTTTTGTAAAGGCAAGATAGAATTGCAGTCTCTTTCAGTAATTTGTTAGAATGTATGATAACTTTTACTCAAGAAAATTGTATTACTATTTAATTGAACCACCCCCCATACTTCACCTACAGCCCAGTTCCTAAGAGGACATGGACAAAGGTTGCTTGCCGTTCTTACGTGCCACAGCTTGTCCTAGAGCTTTACAGAGATTTGAAGACTAGAATTCCATTTTCTTTAGCAACCTTTAAGTTGTGTAGTACCATTTCCTTTCACTTTTCTTCAGAGGTCCTAATGACAGTCTCTCTTCGGGCTTCCTGGGGTTATCTTCCAATCTGACCAGTGCTGAAAATACTGTGGGTCTTCCCTTATAACAGAAGGTCTTCATCCTTTTTGTGTCAGGGACTCCTTTGTCAGTCTGTCCAATCCTGTGGACCCCTCTTGGAATAATGGTTTTAAATGCATAAAATGAAACACGTAGGATTAGTGATCTTTTTAAAAACAAGCTCATTGACTGGCTCCCAGCTTAAGAGCCCCCCTTTATATTGTAGGTCTTTCAGGCTGTGCTGCTTATGTTTTCATCCCAGGGGTCATTTTTGCTTTTTTATAAACAAAACCCCAAGGTACTATGTTAATCTCTTGAGGTCTTTTCTAAAAATTCGCTTTGATCCTGAAATCCTTTTATATCATATTTGCATATAAGTGGTAAACATCTTTACTGGGAATATTTAATGCTGAGAAAAAGTGGATAGAGTTTGATGATCTCTGATATTCTTTTTAGCCTTTTTAGGTACATTTGATCTTTGGCAAGGAGTCCATCCTTCTTAGATTTTGACCCATGAGCTAGATATCCAAAATTCCATTTTAATTGACTGTTTGCTTCCCAGATTCCTTTCTCTTCTACCACCTTGCCTGTGGTGGGCACATAACTTGTACTTCCAGTTGTATTTCCCTCCACAAGTTTTGCTTCTTCTCTGGTCTACCAAACTGAGTCTCAAAGGGCTAATACCTTAGACACCTTGGACCAGGTGTCTAATCTCAATGATTATGCTTATCCCATCATCCTGATCCATGAAATAGTTATTGAGCACTTGTATATGGTATTCCAGTTGTTGTTTCCCTTCTGCTTTTTAGCAATCCCTCAAGTTTTGCTACCCAGACGGATGCATTATTTCATTAATGTGATGGCCCTCTACAAGTGCAGGTGGTAACCTTTCACTTCTTTCTTGTCCTTTGAAATTCTTGTCCAGGTGCTCCTATAAATTATTCTAAAAATATTTACCCCACGTAATTGGATGACCTACCTCTGCAAGTTTAAAGATTTCACAGATAGCAGTATTGACTTTATCCACTATCCCTTATTTTTATTTCATGACCAGCTTATCTCCTGGCCATACCTATCCTTGATGTGATCATTATTTTTACATAATTTCTTGCACAGAAATCATTGTTGGTCATATGCTGTGGCCTGCTTACAAACCCCTCAGTGCATCTCTCCATTGGCCTTTGGATCAATTGTACCTTTCATTCTTTTCAGATCATATTTTTCATGATCAGTAGTCAGCCAGATAGCATCACTGCAAGAATATTAGTGCTAGAAAGATGAGCTTTTGTAGCTAGGAGAAGCATGAGGTTATTGGACCGTGCTGTATACTTTCCCAAATGTGATCCTTCCCTATTTCTTCCTCGTCTCTAATTCTGAACTCAACTTGTTGGCTGGCCATCTGCACCATTTTTCCAGGGTAGATATGCTGATGGATTAACTTCCAGTGCCCATCCAACTGCATTTCATAATCTTGGTAGTATGTGTACTTTCTAACCCATTTGGATGGCTAGGCTGATCTCTTTTAAGGGATCATTTGTTGACTGAATGCAGTCAATATAATGTCATCTTCGAATAAGAACCTTTAGAGGATGTCAGTATTTCTAGGAAATCTTTCTTCTGTTCAGACTTCGTATAGGACATCTTCTATACAAGCAGATGATATCTGACCCAGTAGTCACTGTCACATCATTCTTGGAGGGACAAGCCCCTTCTTCTTTCTTGAAAAGCCTTGAATCTGTTTTTATAGCTGTCCTTTTCCTTCCTTCTGTCCCATGTGTAATGCTCTTTCACGGTCTTGCATCCTGGTAAGGGTCAGACGTCACTCCCTGCTCCTCTGAACCTTTTTCTCCCCATTGAAGCCTTGCTTTTCGTTTCCTAAGAATGCTGCATTCTCTCTGCTGACCTGGAATGTGGAGAGACCATCTTTATCTTCTGCTTTAACAGGGAGACTAAACTACAGTTGGAACACAGATAATAGCAATGCAGATATGGCACACTCAATGCAAGGCACTTGGTAATTTCTTTTCTTTGCCCTGCTTAAGGTTTCCAGCCTTGTTTTCTGGATCTGTTTGTGGGTGTTTTCACTTTAGTCCTCTACCTGGTTAAATTTTTCACAGCCAGTGATCACCTCTTCATAACTGTATGCTCCTTTGAACCTCTTTGCTTTAGTCTGCCCATCAGCTTCATAGTCTCACTGCCCTTGTCAGCCTAGTACCCATTTGCTGTCTGTTTCTCTTGCCTCTTGTGGATGCAGGGCTGCAGATAGAGGTGAGTATTTGAAGGCCCCAGCTCTGTCCTTTAAAGAGAGATCTGGGATTGATTTTCTTTTGGAAATCATGGCTGTATGTTGTACCTCTTTGCATTCAGCTTAATCAGTTTTATTCCAGTTCTTTACGTTGAATTGATATGAATTCCTCTGCTTTAGATATGATTCTCCTAACCAGCATTTTTGTTATGCTTTCTGCTCTACTCTTTTGTTCCCTTTTTATTGGCTGAATAGATTCTGATAATGTTTTTTTTTTTGGCTACATAATAGCTTTGTTGTTGTTGAGTCATTTCAACTGTGTCTGACTCTTCTTTACCCTGTTTGGGGTTTTCTTGGCAAAGATACTGGCGTGGTTCACCATTTCCTTCTCTAGCTCATTTTACAGATGAGGAAACTGAGGCCAGCAGGCAGGGTCACAGAGCTAGTGAGTGTCTGAGGCCAAGTTTGAACTCAGGTCTTCCTGACTCCAGGCCTGACACTCTTTCCACTGTGCCACCTAGCTTTGTAGCCATCAACAAAAACATTCAAATACATAAAGAAAAATCTAAAATTGAGTGTGCATGAAATATCAAACTGTACTTTACAGTTTGTTGTTGGGTTTTTTTTTTCCCCCCAGCCCTGTCTGACTCTTCATGACCCCGTTTGGGGTTTTCTTGGCAAAGCTAGTGAAGTGGTTTGCCATTTCCTTCTTCAGCTCATTTTATAGATGAGGAAGCTAGGGCCAATAGGGTTAACTGATTTGCCCGGGGTCATATAGCTAGTAAAAGTCTAAATCTTTGTGGCTCCTGGCATGGCATTCTATCCACTTTGCTACCTAGCGTCACTAAAGTTAAAGTACAAACTTCATAAATATATATATCTCAACAGACTCTAAGACTATTACTGTATACAGAACATTAATTGATGCTTAATAATGGCCTTATTTTAATATGAAAAGGATAAACTGTTTCAGTATGCAATATAAGGAAGTAATGGAAGTAATTGATTAAAATATTTTTAATTTAAATTTTAAATAATACATTAATTTTAAAAAGTTTTATGCAGTATTGTTAAAATAGTTTTAGTGCTTAAACCCTCAGCTGTCCACAGTGAGTAATTTGGAATAGCTAAAGCATTTTCATAGAATAATGGATTTGGTGGAGTAGTTAGAATGCTGGTCTTGGCAGTGGGGAGATGTGAGTTCAGCATCTGCCTCTGAATATGTCACTTATGCCTTTTGGGTCATTGATGTTCAAGGTTACAATTGCTAAATTAAACTTTTTCTCTTATTAGGTCATTTTATTACTTTTGCTTCTTTTTATCAGTGTAAGTCACTGCCTTTTGGAGGGAGGCAGGGTCTTACTTTAATAGTTCAGTGCTACTACTTGAAATAAATACCAATCATACCCACCCACACCTTACAGCATGCACAGAAGAAGTTTCTTTTACATTGTGTCAGTCTTAAGGTCTTATACTCTCTCTACTTCCTCCTTTCCCATCTTCTGGAACATATTCTTGGATTATACTTTTACTGACATAATTTTAAAAATGTTTTCTGTTTCTTAAGTTTCTCAGATGAAAGCATATTAGTCATCTTGAATCTTTCCTTCTTTGATCATATTTCTGGTTACTTCCTGCATCTCTCTTACTGTGATTCTAAACCAACTTGGAGGTTCTTGTAATTTGTTTAGTCTCTCCTGGAGAGTATTTCTGTTCCAGAGTCTGGTCTTTTTTTTTTTTTAGAGGAGTGGGGATGGTTTCATCTTCATTTCTTTTAATCAATCAACAAATATTTATTAAGTATTTAACTACATGGTAGGTATTGTGCCAGGTGCTAGGGGCAAAAAGAAAGGCAAAAACAGCCCTTTGTCCTCAAGGAGCTTAGATCCTAATGAGGGAATAGATAGGTACGCACAGTTGTATTTACTCATTGTTTGGAGCCTCTTACTTGCTTTTTTTTTTCTTTTGTTAGTTTTCTTGCAAGGCTTTTTCACATGAGGGTTTCTTCCTTTTTCTTTTCTTTTTTTCTTGTTCTGTAATTTTTCTTTGTTTTGTCTTTCCTTGTTTTTCTATGATACTTACTCAGCCATTTTGCCCAGTGACCTGGCTATATACACAATAGTTCCCTCCAAACGTTGGAGCTTTTGGTGGGTTGTGGGGGGTACACTGTTTTATTCTACATAAAATTACGGTACTTAGTCTTTTGTTTAATTCAGACTTCTCTGTCCTCCGGGTAATCTGCTTCTATCAACCCTATTGCAACATAAAATATTATTTTCCACTTTATTCTTCCCCACATATTAATCTTCCACATGAATTATATCAGTTCTTCTCTGGGACTGTCTCCCCAACAACTCCACCTGGCTAGCCATTTGTAGTTTTCAGTCTCCTCCAAAAAAATTGTCCCCTTATTCCCATAGAAACGTCTTCCCTGTTGGCCACTCCTGTCTGACATTAGCCCTGCCTTTGGAGGCTACCATCCTATTGGCTTTTTTACTAGAAAGTTCTTATCTTCTCAGCCTTCCACTCTAGAAATCCCATTTTATGTGTTTCAATGTGACTCCCTCTAGACATCAAGAGCACAAACCCTGAGGTAGGACTGGGGTGGAATTGAAAGGGCTTCAGCCTGCTGGCATAGCTGAAGTTTTTCTTTTTCTTCTTCTTCTTCTTCTTCTTCTTTTTTTTTTGGTGAGGTGATCAGGGTTAAAGTGACTTGCCCAGGGTCACATAGCTAGTAAGTGTTAAGTGTCTTGGTTTTGAATTCAAGTCCTCCTGACTCCAAGGCCAGAGCTCTATCACTGCGCCACCTAGCTGCCCCAAGTCTTTCTTTCTCATTCAGCCTATTAGTAGTCGGCCTCCCTAGTATGTTCTATCTTTATTGAAATGGGTATTGTGAAATTCTGAGTCAGGTATTTCACATTGTGTACCAAAAATAGATTTCTAGCACTCTGTGTTACTTCCTTAACAAGTACCCTTGAGCATTTACATAATATTTATGAGGCAATTCTTTTCTCCAGACTTTGGTGTTCTTAAGGTGGGAGAGAGAAGTGCTATGGAAAGTTCCAATGCCTCTTTCATAGATATACCCATAGTCTTAACAGAGTACTTGTAGTGTGTACCTATATCTTCCCAGATTCTCCCTTAAAAAAAGATTAATGGCATTTATTTAGCTGAGAATTTAAATACCCATAGTTCTATCTATATAGAATGTAGCAAAAACATCTATGGATTTTTAAAATCTGTGTATGAAATTGGTACAGTTGTTATGTTTCATACCAATGTGGATGCAAATAGTCATGGCTGTCTTCACAACTGTTGGGTTTTTCCCCTGTTCAGTTGCTCAATACCATTGGTGCTCCTGAGCCTGCCCCACAATATCTCCTTTCTAGTACATGCTTGCATTTGGTTCATCATCATATGTTAACTTGTATTGCAGTTCACAATTTCCACAGCCCTGGAGGTTTTATCATTCATTGCCAAAGATGAGGTCATAGGATTTGCCAGAGAGTTGGACCCAGAAAGTAGATTATAGTCTGAGGAAAAGTTCTAGTTCATAGATTCAGGTCTGGGTGGGACCTTAGAAATTATTAAGTTCAATTCCCCCATTTTACAGATGGGGAAACTAAGGTTATCAAAGTTCTCTTTGTGTGAGTCCCCACTTCCTAAAATTAAAACCTAGTATATTGACAATTTTTGTCTTTCAGGTCATGACACTGCTGAAATTCCTACTTGAGTCAGGGGTAACCCCTCTGTTTGGGTGATTTGTGCCTGGTATTCCCCCGAAGCAATTTTTGTGTTTCTTTAAATGCCATTTTTAAAATTTCTCTGCAGGATGTATCAGGACAAACTGGCATCTCTCAAGAGACAATTACAACAACTGCAGGAAGGTTAGTGTGCTTTAGTCTGTTCCATTATTGAGTAGACTTTCTAAGGCTGTAAGTTTCTGATCATGTATGCCTAATTTCTTCATACAACTTTTAAATCTTGCCTAGCTTTCTGTGGGCCACCTGTCCCACCTTTGGAGGACAAACTCCTGCTGGTATTGCATACTCAATTGATGCAAATTATTTTGATATTTTTGATGTAATGTACATTTTTTTTTTGGTCTAGTCTTTTGATTTCCTCATTGTGGGTGTGTTCCCAGTGTAATAACTCCCTCAGCTAATGGGGGTCAAGAATATGGCTGCGGTTTGTAGTCACCAAGGTTAGCTGACTGGTCCATGGTCAGTTGGGCAGTGTGTGTCTGCATCAGGCTTGGGGTCTAGGGCTTTGTGGCTCCAAGGCCTTCTCTAATGTAGGGTACTCTGCCTCTCTTACCATTAGCATTAGGGAAACACTAAGCATGTAAATCTGCCATTTTCAGAAAGTCCTAGTGCATTTCAAACTAAATGTAAATGAGTTCAGAATTAACTGCAATACTACTTCTTTTCTCTGTCGGTTTATAAAAGAGTTGAGATTTGAATATAGTACTTTGATTACCTCTGTGTTCGTGACATCAACACACAGAAGCAGTTGCCTTATCAAAAGCGCCTTTTGGTTTGTCTTCAGCCACTTACCTTTTGAGAAAGACCCAACTTGAATTTGGCTCCATAGTGAATAATTCAGAGGGAGTTGCTACTGTAGTTACATATTTAGGTTTTGAAATGTAATGTACATATTTAAATGGAAAGTAGAGTCCAGTTTGTTGGGCTAAATACAGTTATGTGAAGGATTCTAAAAATCAATACCAGTAGACTAGTCTACTTAAATGAATTAAAGAGAAGAATTTTATTTGGAAAGGCCCACCTCCCCCACTGAAATGCTTAATCACCCAACTTTCACAGTAAGCATTTTCTCTACAATAGTTTTATGTGTATTTTTAATGTATGATAGTGTAGATATTTATTTATTTACTTATTTTTGCGAGGCAGTGGGGCAAAGTGGCTTGCCCAGAGTCACACAGCAAGTAAAAGTAGGTTGATCTTCAGAGTAAACTTTGTAAATTATTTACATCAGGTACATTACAAGAATATCAGAAAAGGATGAAAAAACTGGACCAGCAGTACAAAGAAAGGATACGAAATGCAGGTAAGGAATTGGAACGTCTTAATGAAAATGAAGTGCTCTCCATCTTCTTTCTTGAACTAATTTTTGGTCTCCAACCAATCATCTGCACCAGAGGAGTCAAATGAGAGGCCACAACATTTCCAGCCATCTGAATAAAATGTTTTTGGGAAATACGTAACAGAATAAATAATATAATAGAATAATAACACTTACTGTGTGCCAGGTACTGTGCCAATCTCTTTTACAATTAACTTTCTCATTTGATCCTCATAAAAACCTTTTGAGGTAGGTGCTGTTGTTATATCCATTTTACAGTTGAGGAAAACGGAGGCAATCAGAAGTTAAGTGACTTTTCCAGGGCCACACAGCTAGAAAGTGTCTGGGGCTGGATCTGAATGTGAGTCTTCCTGACTCCAAGCCTAGTGCTTTATTCACTGTACCATCTAACTGCCCCAGTAGAACATAGGTAATGTTAATAGGTGATTTTCTGAATCGATCTGCTACCCACATCTTACTGGCCTTGTTTCTATTTTGGTTCGACACTACTGATCTGACCCATCATTTAAAATGAATTCCAGGTGTACCTGCCTGCTTGGGACCATGGGCCTGGATTGGGGAGGGGAGGATATAAGGAATCATGGCTGAGAGCCTCTGTTGGGGAGGCCCTTTGCTGTTGGGCTGTTCCCCTTGCCCATGAGAGAAGAATCTCCAGGGCTTCTTGTCCAATATCAATGTTAGTAGTGTGAATATACAGTCATAGATGTTCAAATGGAATTGGTTTTTAGGTTATCCCAAAGCCTAGTTCTGGGATTAGAGTGACTCCTTTCTTACCTGGTAGCCTTTGCCTGCTTTATTGAGGTTCAAGCTCAGCACACTTTCCTAGGTTTCCCATGCTTTCAAAATGGAAGGATCTGGAGAAGCAGGAAGGTGTCCTTGGTCTATTCCATACCAACAGTTCATTCAGTGTAGAGAGAAAGTGTATGTGTGTGGGGGGGTGCTGTTTGTGTGGCACTGTGGAAGATGCAGAGAATTAGACCACCTGGCCCAGGCTGTGAATTGGGGAGATCCGACATTCAGAAATGCAAAATTAAATAAATACAAGCATAAAGTAACAAGACTTTAGTAGAAGAGAGGTTTGTGGCAGTATGTGGTTAAGTAAGGACCAGATGAGTAACCCAGACAGTTAGTGTTGTAAGTTTGTAGGAGGCAAAGTTCCCTATGGATGTAGAAGTTTTTTCCTTTTTTTTTCTTTTGTGTTTTAGTGAGGCAATCAGGGTTAAGTGACTTGCCCAGGGTCACACAGCTAGTATGTGAACTCAGGTCCTCTTGACTCCAAGGCCAGAGCTCTACCCACTGCGCCACCTAGCTGCCCCGAAGTTCTTAATAAGTTGTTTAATCTGTGTCCTCTATGTATCAGTTACCTTGCCTGGCCAGTAGTGAACAAAATGAAAGACTGGGAAATCCAGGGCTGCTACCATTGGTTCATTGTAGGACCTGGTACAAGTCACTGAGTCAATTTTTTCCTTCATTTCTCTATTCCTAAAGTGAGATTGATGGTAACTATCCTTTTAATACTGCCTAGGAATATTGTGAGGGCCCCTGAGAACTGATATGTAGCATTTTAAATTTCCTGAAGGCATTTTATGAATACAGAAGAGCCCTAATACAGTTTTGCTTTTTTTAAAATTCCCTTCCCCAGTTCCTAATCTTTTCCTTTAAATCTTTTCCCTGTAAATGAACTTTTTTTTTGTTTCCAAGTGATATTGCCAGGTATTGCAAGAACTGCTGTATCTCAGTAGTTGGCTGAACCCTTAAAAATCTCGCCTTTTGCTCATCACCACCTGCTTTGGTGGTAAAGCAAACAAATGAGACCTGGACGACCCAAAGTGCTAATTGTCAGTTTGCTGTGTAAGTGTGAATTTTCAGGAACACAACTGAACTTTAGAAATTTGACAGTTAAAACTTGTGGCATGGTAGTGAGGCTGATGGTATAATGGGACTGATTTCTAGGTGCTTGTGGGATTTAGAGATCCTATAATCCAAGTGTAGAAACCAGGGCCCAGGATCAGAAGGTGCCTTCAAGCTCACTGAGTCTGACTCCTGGCCTTACGGAAGAGGAAACAGGCTCATGTTAATGTGAGTGAGGTTGCTTTCAAAGTGATGTTCTTGAAGAGAAATGACTTTCTCATAGTCACAGGAATGAGGATAATAGCACCTACCTTATAGGGTGCTTGTGAGGATTTTTGTTACATGCATGGTACAGTGTCTGGCACATAGTAGGCTCTTAATAAATGTTTATTCTCTTCCCTTCCCCTTCCCTGTATCATGTTCCTGTCTGGTTAGAGAGAGGGAAGAGCTCCCCTTTTCTTGCTTAAACTCACCCATGCTTCCTTGGCATATTGCCCTCTAGACCTCAGTCGACCAAGACCCTAAGTGGAGGCTGCCACATGAAAAGAGACTAGAGGCCCTTAGGTCTCTTCAGCCTGGGAAGACCAGTGCTGGGAGGGAATGGAGCTGAAGGATTTGGCACTGGAAGTGACTGTCAGTCATCAGTCCAGGGATTTTCATGGACCCTTTTGGCCTGTGGTGAAGCCTATGAACTCCTCAGAACAGTGTTTTTCAGTTCATAAAATTCAGAGAATTACAATGGGAGGCAATTACATTGAAATATATTTACTAAAAAAAGATTTAAGTTCACAAACCCTGGCTTAAGAACCCTCAATGTAGTCCAGTCATTTTACAGATGAGGCAACTAGGCCCAGAGAGGTTACATGGAAGGTCATACTGCTATTAAACAATAATCAGGATTCAAGCCTAGGCTCTCCTACTTTAAATCTGGCATATTCTCCACGTGAGGGTCACTGTGAACATATGTTAATGTGGGTGCACACATACCTAATCAGTGAGGAGGCCCAAAGCCTCGGAGCCACAGTGCCTGGGAACTGAGGTGCTGAAATGCCAACTCTCCTCTGCTCCTTCTCACCTAGGAGAATTTCCAGGTGGTGGTTATTGGCTCCCTTTCCTCTTCCGATCTTGAGTTGGCGGCTTGGCTGCGCTTTCTCCCTGATTCCATCTTGAATAAAGAGTTTCAGGAGAATGTGTCAGTCTCGAGAGTTATTGATCGGGGCCTGCACTGCTGTAAGTGTAGCAACATCTGTTTAGGACAGTGTCCCATTTAGATGGAAGCACATACTCTTGGATCACTCCCTCTCCTGTGAATATATTTGGGATGAAAACATTTGGTTTGGGTAATCATGCTTTCAAAAAGCAATTATTCTTTCTAAACGATTCCTAATGTTGTCCTGGAAAGGTGACAAAGCTGAAATCTCATTGTATGCTTTATCTCTTTCAGAACTTTTCCTTCAGCTGGAAGTAAGTACCATTGACCTGCTAGAAATGCAAGTTCTCTTTGTGACTGACATTTTGTTCTTCTAAACCAGGTGCCTGTTCTTTCAGAATTTTCTAGAAGCCTTTGCTGTCTGCTCAGCAGGTTATCGTAGGGTCACGCAAAGAGAGTTCACACACCGAGCTTTCATCCTCACTAAAATGGAATTGACGGGTGGATGTTTGATCTCACTTTTAGTCCTTCCACCTTTCTATTCCTGGTTGGTGGGCTTTGCTTATCATCAAAATGGATTAAGAGAGTGGCTCTCCAGTTTTAATTTCCTAATTTTGAAGACAGTTGGAATCTGCTTTGAATTGTAATGTGCTTTGAATTGTAATGGACTGTCATTCAGATATGTTGGTTCTCCACCAAGCCTTGCTTTTAAAGTAGTTCTGTGGGTAACTCAGAGCTGAGGTGCTGAGGGCCATTGGAGAGACTGCTGCAATTGTTCCTTTTCACCCCGTGTTGTTTCTACTTGCTGCTTGTGGGACCGGTGCTCAAGGTTTTAGCATTGGCATGTTGTACGTGTGAGTGCCGAGCCCTGTGTCACGTAGAGCGTAAGTTGTTTATTATCATCACGGGTATGACCTTGTTCCTGGATTGCTGATTCTCTTCCTTTACACAATTGGGAAACCAGTTCTGTAGATGCTGAGGTTTTCATTTACAGTGTCATTTCTCTTCCATTTATCTTAAACTTATTTTACTAGATCATCAAAGGAAGACTGGCTTTATTGTTCAGTTTTGGACTAAATTTGAATATAAATGTTTAATTATTTTTCTTTTTCCAAAAATGTGATGTGTTTTGTAAAAATTGTAAACTTAGGAACTATCAACAAAAAAAAACATTCAGTTACATAAAATAAGATCGTAAACTTCAAAGTAGTACTTTTTTTTTTTTTTTTTGAGTGAAAAAGCATGCTGTGTTCCTCATCGTTTTTTGAGTAACTTCTATAATGTCTAGGTCATTTTATTTCCTACTCACTGGTAAAAACCAATAGGCTGTGGGAACTGATGCATAGGAAACTATTCAGTGAAAGATCTGTTTCAAAAAGTATGTGACATGAATGTAAACAAAAGCTGCGTGCTACTGTTGTGATTTTAACTGGCAGACCTACGGGCAGACGGGTGGCCTGGTGGGCAGCGGCTGCTGCACGTGGATGTAACCAGATGGGAGCGGAGGACCAGCTCTGTCAGTGAGAGCTGGCCTTGAGCTGGCACTTTGGCCGTTCCTACCTTCCTCTCATCCCCTATTCCTCTTTCACCCGCCCTAGACAGAACAGGTGGAGAGAAATTACATTAAGGAGAAGAAGGCTGCTGTGAAGGAGTTTGAGGATAAGAAGGTGGAGCTAAAGGAGAACCTGATTGCTGAGCTTGAGGAAAAAAAGAAGATGATTGAAAATGAGAAGCTGACCATGGAGCTGACAGGAGGTCAGGAGGGGGAGGTGGGATCCTGTTGGCAGTTTATTGCTTTTTTTCCTTGTGTCCTCTTCCTTGTGATGTTGGGTTCCACCATCAGAATTACTGTTCGGAAGCAGGCCAAACACTCTCCTGTGTTTATATAGCCCCAGCGTTGGCTGCTATTCTGCGTCTTGGGAACAACGTTGCATTTGGGTGCGAGGCCCTGGGTTGAAATCCCATTTCTCCTGACCTACCTGTGTGGCCTCGGGGAAATGACTTGTCTTCTCTATGCTTCACTGTCTTCCTCTGTAAAATGGGGACCTTGGATTAGAATTTCTTAACCTTGTTTGTGTTACGGACCTGTTTGGGCCGTGGACCCCTGTTCAGAATAATACTTTTAAGTGCATATAACACATAGGGTTATAAAGGAAAACAATGATATTGACACTTATCAGAATGTTGTGCATTTTTTCTCCCCCTATAAACCAAGTTTCTAGACCCCAGGTTTCGAGCCCCTGGGCTGGATGATCAATCCAGTTTCTAAATCATAGAATTAATTCTTTGACCTAAATGCCTCATAGACATGTCAGTCCATGGCCTTGGAAAAGCCTCTCCTTTTATTAGGACTATGGTATAGGAAGTCCATCTCCCTTAGGGCCCAAATGGGAGTCAATATTATGTAAAGAACACCAAATTGGGAGTCAGAAGGCCTGAGTTCAGATTCAACCTTGGCTGTGACTTAACTCTTTGGTCTAGTCACTTCCCTTCTTGGCCTCAGTTTTCGCATCTGAAAAATGAGAGTGTTGAACTAGATGTTCTCTAAGGTCCTTTTCTGGGCACTCGGGGGTGTCCTAGTGCAAAGAGTGCTGGGCCTGGAGGCAGAAAGACTCATTTTCCTGTGTTCAAATCCAGCCTCAGACACATACTAGCTATGTGACCCTGGGCAAGTCACTTAACCTTACATTCCTCAAAGTCAGCCATGATTGAAAATGACTGAACAACAATGAGGTCCCTTTCAACCCTGAATTTCTGTGACTTCTTATTAGTCTGTAGACTAGACTAGGCCCCCTTTTGCCCATGACTTTTCTCATGAATTGAAAAAATAAAATGCTGTTCCAGCAGAAGGAGCTAAAGCTGAATGTTTTCTGTGGAGGTGGCAAAGTTAAATTGGCCCCAGATCCAGCTTCATACCTCCTCCTTCTAGGATTTATTAATCTACATATGGGAACTCAGCAGGGTGTAGGCAAGTTTAAGTGACAGGCAATAAGGGCTGACTCCGTCTGTTGCTTTATGTAGACTGCTGAATCCTAGAATGATACAGGGCGGGAGCTGGCTGGAAGTTAGTTTCTTGGAACTTAGCGTGGTTTCACTTTGGAAGTCCTGCAGGAAAAGTTAAGATTGGAGTTTTAGGTCTGGCTTAAGTAGCTAAAGTGATAAGCCTTTCACTTTGTAGGGCATTGTCTAGCAGTCCTGGCCAGAAGGTGTGAATGAATGCTTTGTTGTTTTTCTATAAGCTTCATCCAGAGCCACACCATCCCAACTGCTGTCTTTGTGGTTGACTTTGAAACCAAAAGGAGTAATTGAGAGCTTTATACCCCCTGGGTACTCCATGCCAAGACTCGCACTGTACTTCGTCCACATACTGTCGATCTCAGTTACACAGACTTGATTCTTAGCTTGATTCCACCTCCAGAGCCGTGTTAGAGGTAGAGTGGTTGGGCCTCTTAGAAAAATTGGTTCTGTGATGGATTTCTTACTGAAGGGTTTTGCAAAAGAAATGACTCTTCTAGATGCCTTTCAGAGAGCCCACAGTAATGTATCTTGTGTGTGGGTAGTCCGGAGAGGGAGCTTTGAACAGCAGTCCCTTATTTTGTACTTGCTAGAATGTTTTTTTAATTAGACTGATAACTGTGCTGGCCCTATCTGTTACCCAGTTTGCCTGCCTGTTTCTCAACTTGCACCATTTTCTTTGCCCGTGGTTAAGGCTGGCACTGATTCATTATTGCTCTCTGATCTACCTACCAGATGTTCATGGGATTTCATCAGGCAAGTGGGAAATAGAGCCAGCTCATAGACTCTCCCCTTCCATCTGCAGGGAAGAGGATTATCATCTTACCTGTGATTTGGCATCAGGATTGTGGAAGTGAGAGATGCATTGTCAGGCCAGGCAGTTCCTGCAGTTCCTGCCAGATTCCAGACTGGGTCATGGGGCATCCTCAGTGACTGAGAGGATGAGTTCAAATGGAAACAAGACAACTGGAGGGGCATCATTTTTTACTCAGTAAAATACATTACAGAGGCGCATTTGAATCCAGGCAGGGACACTAAAAGGACCAATTTCTTTCCTCAAGCCATTTGGTACCCTTGGCGTGGAAGGCACTGCCAAGGTAATAACTGATTGTCACAAATAAAGGTACTGGGGCTGGAAGGATAATTAGCCTTTCCACAGATGGTGCTGCTATGGTATTGAATTAAAGGCCTGATTGCATGCCTGTAATTGAGTGACTTGTCTCACCTTTATGGACCAGTGCCATCCTTGTTCTTCTGCTGAGATCTTCCCAGAAGAGATATTTCCTAAAAACAAGGCCTTTACTTGTGAATACAGAGGACTCTTTTTTGCAGAAATAACTGGGGTCTGGAGCTGGTGAGACTCTTTTGGCTTAGATGACTTGCTCCTTAGAAAGCTGAATTGCTGGGGTCTGACTTGCTCTCTTAAAATGTGGCCTTGCTGACTTGATCCATTTACATATCCTTGATGAATATTTGTAGCAGTACGTTGTGGTGGAGATGTACAAAGGTGAGGAGGGTTTTTCGTGCTGTATGGAAGGAAGTGAATTGAATTGAGACAGGTAAAAGCCCTTGGCTTATCCACAGCATTCAAAATTTCTTTGTTTGCTGTAACCTGTGGTTCCATGGGTCTTGGACTTACATTGAAACAGGGGTCCTTCAGTGAAAGCTTCTTTTTTAAGTATTCCTTTCATGCTCCATAGTTGATTTTTTTTTTTTTTGGTCCACTTTCAGTTGTCGACTATTTCTTTGTCATTTGGGATATTTGTAATCTTAACTCGATTTCATCTCACGGTTTCCTATGTAAATTCTCTGTGGTCATAGCCTCTAGGTAGTATTGTAGAGCTGAGATTTGTGGGCTTTTATAGAGTATTTTCCCTGATCTTGTTTGATCCTCTCAGTAACAGTGTCAGAAAGGTATGGTCATCCCCATTTTATAGATGAAGAAAGTGTGCGTCAGAGAGGTTAAGACACTGGGCTGTGGTCACACAGCTTGGTTGGTGGTGGGAGTTGAACTCAGGTCTTCCTAATTATCAGGCCATTTTGTGTTGACCTCCTGCCTCCTTTATATTGCACTCTAGTCATTGCAAAATATTTAATCTATGTTATTGCATTGATCATCATAATTGGGGGCCCTTGGGAAAGCCGGGATCACGTAGCCACCCCGGGGCTCTAACCTGAATTCCAGTCTTGATCCCCAGCCCAGTGTTGAGCTTCGCTTTTTGTAATGCTCTGCTGGTTCAGGGGCTGGTGTGCGCACCCACTGGCCTTGGGAGTAGCCATGCTGATGCTTTTGCATACCCTAACTCAGTTGAACAAATGTAAATTGTGGTGCTGGGTGCTGACAGGGCCAAGACAAAACCAAGACAGCCCAGGACCTTAGGAAGCCTCCGTTGTTGTGGGGGTTGCAGCACATCCAGAGAGAAGTGCAAAGCAGTGTTAGGAAAGGAAGAAAGGACATCCATAGCTGAGGAGATCTGCAGAGGTTTCAGGTGGAGGTAGCACCTGGGCTGGGGGCCTGAAGAGGTGGAGGCAAGGAGGATTCCAGGCATGGGAGGTAGTTAAGTGCGAATGCACAAAGGGGCGATACGGATTGTAGAGCTTGGAACAGCTGGTGGACTAGTTCACTGCAGCAAAGAATACACTAACTCTGGAAAAGCTAGGTGGCAGTCAGATTATAGACAGCTAGAAATGCAGGCTGAGGAATTTGCATTTTACTTTACGGGTAATGATGATAATAGCTAACATTTATATAGCACCTGTTATGTTCCAGGTGCTGGACTAAGTGCAGTACAATTTCACTGGATCTTCACAACAACCTGGGGAAGTAGTTGCTATTATTAGTATACCTCTTTTACAGATGGGGAAACTGAGACAAACAGAGATGTTAAATGACTTGCCCAGAATCACTCAGCTAGCAAGAGTTTGAATTCAGGATTTCCTGACTCCAGGCCTGGTACTCCATGCACTGTGCCATCTACTTGCCAATAGGGGACCACTAGAGATTTTTGAGAAGAGGGGGTGACATGGTCAGACTTTAAGAATATTATTTTGGCAGTGGATGGAGGATGGCTGGATTGGGGAGAGCCTGGAAGTTGGGAAGCCAATTAGAAAGCTGCTGCAGTAGTCTACGTGAGAGGCAATGAGGACCTGCGGTAGGATAGAGGTGGTGTGAAGGGAAAGATGTTGTAAAAGTAGAATTGACAAGACCTGACAGTTGATTGGATGATAGGGATGTAGGAGTGAAGAATCATTCTGTGGTTGTGTGCCTGGCTAATGGGAATTATAACAGAAATAGGGAAATTGCAAGGAGGGGGATCTTTTTTTTTTTTTTAAAGGAAAATAGGAATTCCATAAGGTTGAGTTTGAGATACTGTTGTGATATCCAGGTGAAGATGTCCAACAAGGAAGTTGGTGTTAGGAGACTGGAGTTCAAGAGAGAGGTGAGGGCTAGATACCTAGATTTGTCAACTTTGTAGTTAAATAAATTGTAGATCATTAAACTCATGAGAACTATAGAAGGCCCAGGACAGAGCCTTAGGTATTCCCATGCTTAGTGAGCAGGAGATGAATGCTGGCTCACCAGAGGAGACTAAGGATTTTCTGTTTGATCCTGGGGATAATAGGCATCCTTTGGAGTTTATTGAGTGGGGGGTGATGGCGGTGGCGGTGGCGACGGCAACACGGTCAAATCTGCATTTTAGGAAGATCAAGTTAAGTGGGGAGAGCTAGGCAGACCAACCAGCAGGTTTTTGTTGTAGTAGTGATGAAGACCTGCACCTGGGTGCGTGGGGGGGGGGGGGGGCTGAAGGGGAATGAGGAATTGGAGATTACTTCTAGCTTGTGACCCTGGTAAGGTGGTGGTACCTTCTATTGTAATATCAGAAGTCAGGAAGAAGGGAGGGTTTGAAGGAAAGACAATGAGAGCTGTAAAATGTGGATGATATTTATGGTGGTGTTATAGGTGAATTTTTTTCCAAAATAGTTGGGAACATGTACATTATCTTAACAGTTCTCTCTTTTGACTCTTCTGTTTCCTCCCACCTCGCAAATCTGTGTTAGACTTAATCTATCAGCCACTTGATATCCAGAAAGAAGACCTTTCAGAACCAAATACAGGCTGATTCCTCCTGCTTTCAAGACATATATGTCAGAGCTCTTTCTTAGGATACCCTTTGATGTCTTCATGGAAAGAACATGATAAGGATGTACAGTATCATTCTTCTCATTCCTCTAACAGCCACCATTTTTGTGATACCTTTTTGGGTTTGGTGATCTCACATGATGCTTTTTTTTTCCCCAAGGCTAGTCCGTATTCACAGTGTCGTTAGGGTCATATAGAAAATGTTAAACATCATATGGTTTCTATTTGAGTCTTATACACGCGAGCAGCTTCTAGCAAAACAGAGATTTTTTCAGAATTACGTAGTGGCTGAAAAACTGATGCTACTCTGTAAAAATTTAGTCATGGGACTCCAATAGGAGCTAGTTGGCATATAGCCAACCCACTTAGTTTAGTTGCCTTGAAGTACATGATCTCTTCCCCCCAGTTACTTCTCATCCTCTCTGAGTGTCATCTTACAAGCTAGATTTGAGTATTATTTGTTGCTTATTTCCCTGTCACCTGTACCTAGAAATAAGGGCCTATGGATTTATCCCCATCATCCTTACGAATGCAAAGATGCACTTTACCTAACTACCATCTTCTAAGAATTTTCAGTTGTGTAAATGTCCTTTGACATTGTATGGCATAGTATTTATTATATAATCTAGGAGCTGCCTCTTTACTTTAGCAGAATGAACCTTCATGGCTAAATTTGAATTCCAGCAAGCCATCATCTCTGCTTCGCCTCCATTGTTTTGTTTGAATAATAATGAGCTGGCTTTATTGAGGAATCCAGTTTCGCTTCTTAACAGCAAGTAGCATTTGCTATCGTCAGGAAGCCACAAAAGGTTGTAAAAATAGATGAAAAAAGAAACAAACCCTGAATTTATTAATGGAGACAAATATGGTATAAAAGCCTCAGTATTATTTATTGGCCAGTGGCCATCAAAAGCAGTTGGTATACCCACTTGCCCATTTTGAAGGGTGAACAGTCAAATCCCTGGTTTCTTCGGTACAAACAAAGGGGTGGCCAATGCTGTAATGTAAGAGTAGGTCCCATTTTAAATTTAAATTTCATAAGCTTGGGTGTGCCAAAATCTGTAGTGGACACCAGGGTTTGGACTAAACCCATTAATAAGTGATCCTGACAGTGGTTTGCAGACTGTATGAGCTCAACCTTTAGGAATTGTCATCGCTTTCTTGCAATAGTTTGACTTCTTTGTCCATTCCATTTTTTTCCTTTAGATTCCATGGAAGTGAAGCCCATCATGACGAGAAAATTGAGGCGGAGGCCAAATGATCCAGTTCCAATCCCAGACAAGAGGCGGAAACCTGCCCCTGATATCCTTGTTTACATAAAGAATGAATTACTTTCTTTGGAGATGTTCTATACTGAGTCTTCGTCTTATGTCATCTCATAGAATGTGTACATTTGCCCTACAGGGAGCGTTAGTACTTAATTGAAGAACAGACCATTTGTGTTTTTACTTCTAAATTAGAAGTTCTTGACTTTTTTTGTGTGGCAGAGCCTATTTTGGCAGTCTGGTAAAGCCTGTGGACCCTAAAATCATGTTTTTAAATGCTTAAGATAAAACACAGAAGATTACAAAGTAAACCAGTAAACTGAAATGTAGTTAACAAAGCATTTTTTAAAAAATGAATTAAGGGGCAACTAGGTGGCGCAGTGGATAGAGCACCGGCCCTGAAGCCAGGAGGACCTGAGTTCAAATCCAGCCTCAGTCCCAAACACTTGACACTTACTAGCTATGTGACCCTGGGCAAGTCACTTAACCCCAACTGACTAGGCAAAAAAAAAAAAAAAAAGAATTAATGGACCCCCGGTTAAAAGAACCTTTCTTAATCTTCATTTGCTGTGTTCTGTGGTTTGGAAAATTTTTTGAAAAGCCTTGTGGTTAGAGGGTTGACATAGTTGTGTTCTTGGTGCCAATGTTGATTTTTAAATTTTAGGCAACTAATTCCAGCTCAGGAGTTTGTTTCTCCAAGTCTTTGAAGTGAGTCACCTACTCTTGCATATGTCAGTGATCTTTGCCCATGAAAGGTCAAGCAGGGGTTAAGAGGCTTAAAATGAGAGGTTTCAATTACATCACAAAGCTGTTGTAATCAGGTTGGTTGTTTGGCCTATTTTTGTTTTTGTTTTTTGGTTAAGTGACTTGCCCATGGTCACACAGCTAGTAAGTAAGTGTCAGATGTCTGAGGCTGGGTTTGAACTCAGGTCTGCCTGTGTTCTAGCTGCTCTTGTCCTTTTTTTTTTTTTAGGCAATTGGGGTTAAGTGACTTGCCCAGGGCCACACAGCTAGTTAAGTGTCATGTGTTTAGTCTGAGGCTGGATTTGAACTCAGGTCCTCTTGACTTCAAGACTGGCGCTCTGTCCTTCATTTTTGATGAAGACCAATGATGTCTGTGGTTCTACAGCCTTTGGTTGTAGCACAGCACTTTGCATGTAGCAGAAACCTAATAGATGTTTATTAAGTTGAATTGATTAGGGAATCAAAAATATTCAAATAAGTTCTGATAAAATCATTGAGTTACACTTTAAACATCTTAATTGGCTAGATTTCTATGTGTCTTTGGGAAGCACAGCACCGACATTTTTTCTTTAATTCTCAACACCCCAGTTGAACTATTTGTTAACAGATGAACAAATCATGGAGGACCTCAGAACGTTAAATAAGGTAGTACTGCTATTTGATTTCTTGTGAAATATTAGCATTCAGCCTTGAGAAAATGACTTGTCTCACTTGATTCATACCCCAAGTTATATCTGAGTATATCTCAAGTTGATGCCCCAAGTTATATTTGAGGAAATTTTTACTGGAGTTAATTTTTTTTTTGTTCTTCCTGCAGCTTAAATCACCCAAGAGACCAGGTAAGTGCCTAATGGGATTGGCATTTGTGTTGTCTGTTGATCCTTTCGTAAAAATGTGTAAATACTTGTCAAGGAGTCATTGTAGGGTTGTCTTATTTGATTCATTTATTTTTCTGAAATAACAACCTGTTCTCAATCTGCCCAAAGGCAGCCATCATGAGAACCAAGTGGAGACTTTAGGCTTCTCCTTCCTGCTCAACTACTGCTTTACAGACATTTTTAACCTTAACTTGTTTATCCTTGGAATTTATTATAAAAGAGAGATCTGAGGAGTGAGTGGGTGGGAAAAGACTCCCCACTCTGTAGATGGCAGACCTAAGAGGTAAAGTGCACGACCACTGTGCCCATCTGGGTAGTGTGAGCAGCAAGATGCCCAGCATTACGAGCTTTCAGGAGTTTAGTGTCGAATATAATTGTCAGTGTTTTGGCCCTTGGTTGTCACCTTGTGAAGATTGCTATTGCTTCCGGAACCCAAGCTTCATTATGGAAGTGTTCAAGAAGATGATTCCTAAGGGCCTTTCCAACTCAGTTCTGTAATAATTGGGTTTTTTTGTTTGTTTTTTTGTTTTTTTTGCTTAGGCAGTTGGGGTTAGGTGACTTGCCCTGGGTCACACAGCTAGTAAGGGTCAAGTGTTTGGTCTGAGGCTGGATTTGAACTCAGGCTCTCCTGACTTCAGGGCTGGTGCTGTATTATAATCAAGTTTTTTTAAGGCGATAACTCCCTATTTGAGTAAAAGAAGTAAAAGTTCCATATGAACTCCCCACACTCCCCTATGGGAGATTTTCTCTCTTGTGGGTTGCCTTTCCTTACAGAACAGACCTGAATCTCTGAAATCATTGTTGGGGGCCAGGCTAGAGACAGACCTGTGTGGGTCAGTATGGAGTGTATTTTAGACCACCTGAGGGCTTGAGAGCCAAAAGTGCTACTTCAGCCATACCCTGCACATTTCGTGCCTCTGCTATGGAAGCTAGCTCTGCCTAGTCACTGCCTAGTCATGTGCATTTTCTGAAAGACCATACTGATCTAAATATAGATCACCCCCAGTTCAGGCCCTACCTCTAAAATTAGATCCCATTTGAAAGGGAAAGATAAGCTTATGTGTGCGCGCACGTGTGCCTGCATATGTAGGTATCTGTGTAAAAATAGCTATATTTCAGTAGTTACACAAAATTACTGTATTAAACATGTATTTACCACAAAAGGTTTTTTCGATCCACTAAATGTCTTACTCATTTTTGTCATCACTGCTTCCTTTGTCTTTTTCATTTTCGTTGTCATTTTCTTCATAAGGCAGTAATTACAGACTTTACTCAGATTTCATCTGAGCCAGATTTGGGGGGGAGGGGGGTTCAACCTCCATTTGGACCAGTATGGTAATTTCATTTTGCTCTATTTCAAAGGCTATTAGACGAATTATCCTTTTATCTTTTGTGATATTCTCTTCTGATTTAAGTTTTTCATTATTAAATGCTCTTCAGTTAAGCATGTGATCTGGTGACCCGCATAGTGATTTTGACCATGTTTGGTTTTTTAGCATCTCCCTCTTCTCCAGAGCATCTCCCTTCTACACCTGCAGAGTCTCCTGCCCAACGGTTCGAAGCTCGGATAGAAGATGGCAAACTCTACTATGATAAAAGATGGTAGGTGGTGGTTCAAAGCAACAAAACTCATTCCTGCTGTAAGGTGGGAGATCCCCAAAGGAATAGAGGGAAGGGGGGAATTGGAAGGTTATTCTGTGTCTTTGGGGTGCTCCAGTTTGGTAGTATCGACCTGGAACTGCTTTTAAGTGGAGACCATAGACTTGGGAGCTATGTTGTGGGCAGTCACTACCAGCTTCAGATAAGTATGGATTGTTTTGTTTTGTTTTTTGGGTTTTTTTTTTTTTTTTTTTTTTGGCATGGCAGTTGGGGTTAAGTGACTTGCCCGGGGTCACACAGCTAGTGAGGCTAGATTTGGACTCTGGGCTTCCTGCCTCCAGGATCAGTGCTCTGTCCTCTGCACCATCTAGCTGCCCCCAGATAAATATGTTTAAGGTCAGGGCTCGTCCGTTTATGTTTTCATAAGATGTGCCTTGGTAAAGTCCCTTTTCCATTCCCAAACATCGCTAATTGGTAGCAAGAAAATGGGATATTCAGCAAAACATTGAAAGGAGCGGTTAATCTCTGGAAGCAGTGTCATGAGCAGGCAGGCATTTGACTGACTCACGTTCCAGTGGGGGGGGGGGGTTATGCTTAGAGGTCACAGACAGGGCATGGTCAGACCGTGTTGGTGTGGCCAGTGGCTACAGGCTCTTCCTGCCCTGGGCAGGTGCCCTCCTTGTCTCTTTCAGCTTGTTAGTTTCTTTGTTGTCAAAATAAAACAGGACATCCACCAGTAGTTGTAATTAGTTATCCAGTGCGTGGCCAGCCTTTGGTTTCTCTGGTAACATTGTAAAGAGCCCCGGGAAGCCTGTTGTGGGTGGGGTAGCGCCCCCTTGGCTCTCTGGTCAGGTCTGGTCATCATCCTCTTTGTGTCATGAACATGCATATCTAGACTTTGGCCACTAGGTGGCAGAGTGGGGCAGCCCCACAGACAGTGGAGCAGAAGCAGATGACAAATGTTTCCAATCATGAAAACCAAATAATCTTTAAAGAGCAAACCCATACATAACAACCATCTTCCAGAATGATAAATCTCCCCAGCGTTCTTACGTACATGTGAGGCGCAGAGTCCTGTGGTGTTTCAGCTGATGATGGTCTGGCTTGGCTTCTTCCTTCTCCTAAGTTTATCTCAAGACTTTATGAAATGTGTCATCTGGGTGAATGATGAGAAAACTCAGAATCTTTCCAAAGAAACCAAAAGCAAACCCGGGAATTCCTAAGGACAGGTTCTGATGTGTCTGGGCACGAGGCCTGTGGTCAGCCTGGACAGGCTCGGCCTGAAGAACCCATAGAATTTCGCCGTGTCTTCCTCACATGACAGTCACATCTTACATCTTTCACTCCTAACTAGAGAAACCTTGTGGTGCTAGTTCACGGGTCCAATCTGTCTGTCTGTGTCTTTCTCTTCCTCTCTCTTTCTGTCTCTCTCTCCCTCCCTCTGTGCCAAGCGCAGATAAAAAGTAGTGCAGGCAAAGTTGTCACTGGAAGGAATGCCTGGTTTTCCTCTGGCCTAACCGTATAGACTCTGGGATGATTCCACTCTTCTCATAGGAAGGGTTATTACCTTTTGAGCTCAACAGTCATTTTATGGCCTTTTCCCTTCTTCTTTACTTCAGAAATAAGCTCCTTGAAAGCATGGGACTTCCAAAACAGGATTAAAGTTTAATTTGCTGCTTTCTGCTGGGTCTGAAGTTGTTTCTCTGCATCCTGTGTTCTTCCTTTTTGGCTCCTTGCACTTTTACTTCATAAAACAGAATATTTCTCTGATGAAAGGCAAAGCAAGGCTTTTCCCTCTCCTGGCTGATAATGTGTATGTGTTCATATAAACAGGTGCTGATTCTCTCACAAGTGGAGCCTCGATATCTCACTAGGCTTTTGTTGCTTGACCCCTGGTATCAGCCCGATGGTTGTTCTCCCCTACCCCTTCTTGCTCTTACTTCAGAAATCGAGGTGTATTTGAGAGAATCAGCTACATCGTTTCTGATCTTTGTAACATCATTTGGGTCTATAATAGGCCTTTATGAACAGTGTTTCTGGCAGGACATGTCTCAATGACTACAAAATGATTGTGATCTGGAGTGTCTCTTTTATTTTTATTTTTTTTAATTATTATTATTATTTTTTTTTGGCTAGGCAGTGGGGTTAAGTGACTTGCCCAGGGTCACACAGATAGTAAGTATTATGTGTCTGAGGCCAGATTTGAACTCAGCTGCTCCTGGATCCAGGGCCGTTGCTCTATCCACTGCGCCACCTAGCTGCCCCTGGAACCTCTCTTTTAGAATGAACAGTCATTGAACGACATTCCTTTTCGTTTCTCTTAACCACTTTATATCCTATTGTAACAGTTGCTTCCATTTTGATTCATAATAAGAATCCCTCTCTAAAGTAGTTGATGCTTAAAAATCAGCAGGGTGGGAGGCTTCTCATTTCCCCCACCACCCATTATATTAAAACTGGAGCTGTTAATGTGCACCAGAAATGAGGAAACTCACTTAGCTCGAGAGCTTAACCCTCAACCCCTGGGTTGACATGAGGTGCTATTATTTCCCAAATAGTGAACATTTCCAGTGAGAAATTCACTTTTCTGAGGCTCTATAGCTGTGGTGTGAAGTTCTCTCTCTGAAATACAGGGAACCTCATTGAATAAGAAATGGAAATATTTGCCTTTCTTTGTCCCTTTCCTCTTAAAAAAGAAAAAAAGATAGTGCTATTCCAGGAGACCTCTGGTTCTTGTGGTGGCAGGTCCAGTTCTGTTTGGCCTCTTAAACTAGACAAAATGTCAGAACATCAGAATTGGTGATGCCCAGGTGCAGTCACCATTAATCATAGACTACATAGATTTTAGTGCTTGGCCATTTGACTGTTTGGGGTCTTTCTGCCTTCCTGCAGAATTTAAAGTACTTTTTGGGAACATGAATTTATACAGGAAGTTTGGCAAAGATAGCATTGGGGAAAAAAAAGTCACAAATTCACCTGTCCTTATCCTGCATGTTCTGAAGCGTTTTATGGCTGGGAGGAATGTTATATCTTTGCCTTTAAATCTTTTGTGTTCTTTTTTTTGCTCATCAATTCACTGGAACTGGAAAAGGAACTTCAGATGGGACTGTCATTTTTCATTTATTTTTTTCACTGGGAATTTCCTTAAGAAATCTCTGTCTTGTGGGACTTGAAGTGATCATTTCTCTGGAATAGTGCCAGCCTTGGTAGCTTATGTCCTCCCTTACGGAATCAAGTACAATATTGTTAGTAATTATGGTAGGAATTAAAGCCTCTGCTTCCTGTTGTGGCAGTCCCCGCAATGGTGGAGAAGGGGGAGTGGAGGAGGGGAATAGGGTCCCAAGGTCAGCTGTCAGGTGCTGCTTCATAGAGGTGATAGACCGTGTTACTGGTGCTATTCTTGCTCACCTGTCATTGTTAACAGAGAATACTTGTTAGGCAGTTCCGTGTGGTTGTCTGCTTGGGATATATAGTTCAGGTACAGTGGAGCATGGCCAAGACAGATCTCCTCAGAATTAACTGGCAGTTTTCCAGATTTGACCAGCAGGTAGACCTTTTGTAACATGTAGCTTTATTTCCATCCTCTTCGTATTTTGGGGACTTCCCTAACTCTTTTTAGAGTGCTTTGATGATAATGTCATAAAGACTTGTGACTGTTTGCCCAGAAGTATCTCTTTTGTGAGGTGTTTTGTTACACGTATGCATTATTTCAGCATTTATAACTCACTTGTGTAGGTTTTTGCTTATGCTTTTACACTTTCCCAAATAGAACTATAGGGAGTCTTCCTCTGTACTGTTGTGGCCATTGGTTGAAGGAATTGTGTTGCTTTTGTGGGATTCGTGGACTATCCCCTCTCAGAGATGTACTTTTGTCCTCGATGAATAAAGTTTTAGAATATAATTCGTTGGTCCTCTTTTCTTTACACACTTGAAACTTTGTGGTGGTTCAGCATCGTGACTGTCCTGTAAGTAATTCTATTGACTACTCCTTATCTGAACTAGGTGTAGCTCTCTTGGTGTAATCACTGGCTCAGGCCTTTGAAACTGTTTTGAGACTTTAACTAGCAATCTGGAAGTTGAGGTTCATTTTATGAGTCTTTGCTTTTTGATGGAGTTGATTAGGTCCCATTTCACTAGAGAAGCAAAATAATAATGACTCATTGTTTTGACATTTATGAAATACTTTCCTTACAAGACATTAGTAAACTGATAGGAAAGCTATGGTCATGTCTTTGGTTGGAATCTCTTAGGTAGCAAAATAAAGAGTCATTGGAATGATGTACCCTACAATCAGTTAATGAATGAACAAGGGCCTACTATGTGCAAGGCACTGTGCTAGGGATACAAAGAAAGGTAAAAACAGTCTGCCCTTAAGGAGCTCACAGCCTAAAGGGGATAAAACATACAGAAAACTACTATCAGGCAAAATATATACAGAATATATGGAAGGTAAGCTCAGAGAGAAGGTACTAGCAGGTAAGAGGATTAGGAAAGGCTTCTTTCTGAAAATTACTGTCTTCAATAAGCACACTTACTTTGAGTAGGCACAAAAATGTACCTTTCAAAAGCACTGGACCAGCCTCAGGAAAACTTGAGTTTTTGCTATGTCTTCCTCTGTAAGATAAGGGGGGGGGTAGATGAAATGATCTTGGAGGTCCTTTCTGGCTCTGTTTTTAGGACATTAGATGAGCAAGGCAGGGCTTTTCCTCACTTTGTGAAGCTTGGTAAGATGCATGGCTTTACCAGAGGTTGAAGGTTAGTTAAAATTGATGTTTGTGACCAGAGCCGGTTGAAAGGTGATTGTCCATGAGGGGATGAACGAGAGAGCTTCTAGGCTGGGCTGTGCCAGAGTTAGCTCAATGGAGGTTTCTCACACATGTAATCCAGCAGCTGCTCCTGGATCCTGGTGGCAGCTGCCATGTCCCAGCTTTCAGAGCCTTGCGGTATCTTTCTGATCCTTGACCTTGCTCCTGAACTGCAGATTCCTCATAAAGGTCCAGGTTGGAGTAGAGTGGCGAGAAGACATGAAAGACTTGGTAGATTAAGGGTGGGGGTTTGGGGAGAGAAGCCTATTTGTTACACTCTTGTGGAACTGGGTTTTTTCAGCCTACCTCCTCATTTAGGCAGAGCCAAACTCACTGGAAAGTTGCCTGGCTCTGTCTTTTGCTTGTCTAAGGACTTGGAGAAGTAAGGTTATAAATCAACATTTTAGCGTTACATTTGGGGGGAGGGAATCATCTCCAAAGTCATCTAGTTCATGGATACAAGTCTTCCTATTGTTCTAAGTATTCTAGACTTATCCTGGCATTGTAAATAACCAAGTTGCCTTCTAGACGCATTTTGTCAAAAAACATTAATTTATAATTTTTTTTTTTTGATAGGTACCACAAGAGCCAAGCTATCTATCTGGAGTCAAAAGAGAACACCAAGATCAGCTGTGTGATCAGTTCTGTTGGTGCCAATGAGGTAGGGGAGGGGTGTGTGTGTGTGTGTGTGTGTGTACTCGTTTCTTTCCCAAGGTCTTAGAACCCAGACACTGCCACGTAGACCTTCCATTGCAGTCTGTCTTGGCTGTGTGTGTTGTCTAATTAGAACAAAACTGGAATGAAAAGGCAATCAGGAAAGTCAGTCTTCTCACTGTAGCTGTTACCAGAAGGTTGGTAACCCCTGTGTGACTTGCATTGTTAGTAGTTTAAAAAGTTTAAACTTGAAAAGCTGCTTTGCTTTGATCTTTTATCAGGGCACATATGTCTGCAAAGAAATTGATTTTTACGTCTCTCTCCTCTGTGTTACCGATTCGTGCTAATGTGGGAGTAATCAAATAAAAACTGGATAATGAAATGCCATAAGCTTTTTCTGTTCTCCCAGATTTTGGAATGGAAAATGCCTCTAAATGTGCCTAGTTTGTGAGGTGGTTTTTTACCCAGCAGTTCGGGTGCTCTCTCTAAATCATTTCTGTTCACCTGGGGCTCAGGATCCCTTTACTGTCTTCACGCAAGATAGGTTCTCTCTGAAGGGACAGCTGGCTTGGTACAAGGTTTATACAGGGTAAATGGAAGGAATAGCCCTTCTAGCCTCTGCTCACAGGCCAAGGCTGAAGAGTGAGCTGGTGGTGATGTGCCTGTCCACCTGACAGATTTCAAGACCAGACATAGATGACCTCATAGAGAAAGTTGAGGCAAATGGGACTGTTGGTGGAAAAATCATTTACCTTTAGAAAGTATTTCATTCAGTAAACATAGTATCGGCTGTGTCCAAAGTCATTCCCCTTCTAAAACCTCATTATGGTGGGGAAGCAAGTCTGCCTTCTTGAAAGCCATCCCAGGTCATGAGCTAAGGTAGGTCTTATTAAATTGGAAAGTATTCAGATATTGGCCGGGTAATGGGTTTTATCTGAGGAGCAAAACAAAACTTGGTGTCTTTCCCCTTAATCTCTCGTTCCTTTATTCCCTATTTCTTTATAGAAGGTACCATCATCCTCCCTACCCCCCAGACCTGGGAGTCCTCCTCACTATCTCTTATCCCCCTATATCCAAGCTGTTGCCAAGACCTGATGATTTCACCTTGGCGACATCTCTCAAATACGCCTCCTTCTCTTCTCTGACGCTGCCACCATCCTGGTGTAGACCTTCATCACCTTACACCTAGATTACAGGCTGCTGGGGGGTGAGTGGTGGGTCTGCCTGCCTCAAGTCTCTGCCCTCCAATCCCTTCAGCCTCCATTCAGCCACTGAAGTGATTTTCCCAAGGCGCAGGTCTGATCATTGTCACACAATCAACTCCCCCCACCTCAAATAAGCGTCAGTGGCTCCTGTTAACAGGAGCAAATACAATTCAAAGCACTTCATAACCTATCCTTCCCCCTCTCTGCCTCCTTGCTTTCCAGTCTTTTTACACCTTACTCCATGCTACATTTTCCTCAGTCCAGTGACACTGACCTCGTGGCTGTTCCAGGAACAAGACTTTCCATGCCCAGGCATTCTTTCTGACTGTCCCCCAAGCCTGGAATGCTCTGCCTCCACTGCTCTGACATCTGACCTCCTTAGCTTCCTTTAAGCCCCAACTAAAATCCCACTTTCTATAAGGAGCCTTTTCCAACCCCTCTTAAATCTATTCTCTTCCCAGCTTGTTTGTACATATTTATTTAATGTTGACTCCCCCATTAGACTGTGAGCTCCTTGAGGGCAAAGACTGTTTTTGACCTCCTTTTGTATCCCCAGTGCTTAGCACAGTGCTGGCACGTAGTAGGCACTTAATAAATGCTTATTGACTGACACTTTTTGAGGATCACTTGACTAAATTGAGAGGATCTTTACCAGTGGATTGCCCATCAGATGAGAGGGTTTATTTGGCTACAACAGCTTATGAAGACTTTAAGGTTTGGGGGAGGTTGGGATCTGTATCAGTGAAAGGGAGTTTTAGCACAACCACTGATGAGACTTTGACACCTGGAAGTATGATGCAAGTATTTACAGGGTACTTTGCTGGGTGCCAGGCGAGGCATACGCCTACCGAATCAGTGTGTTAGTCTCAACACTTGCAGGGACTTTTCTTCATGATGATGGAGAACAGAAATGTGATCTGACAGTCTTATTGTAAAGATGAAATACTTGCCCATTTTATTGACTTCATAGAGCATCTCTAACGGGAACAACAAAGGAAAGGCTTGTCTTCGGAAGGGAATGAGCGTTGGTGCATTTGTACAGTACTAGCAGAAACTTTGGTAACAGAGAGACGTTTCTCAGCTCTTGGAGTTTCTCTGGCTCATTCTTCAAGTCCGTTATTAAGTGAAATTGGAGCTCTGGTGCCTTCTGGTGCCTTGACGTTGGGTAGGTTGGGTGGAGGCGACAAATAGTGGGAGTATGGCCAAATTAGTCACTGCAGAGCAGACGTTTACTTAATCCTATAAAGCTGTCAGAGGTTTTTTCCCCTTTTACCAATATTCTTGACTTTAAAACACCAGCCATACACCAGCTAATTAATTATATTAAAAATAGATGAAATTGAGAAATCTTTTTTTTTAACTACAATAGCTGACAAGTATGTATGAAAGTGATGTTTGTGTACATATATGAACGATTTAAGTTTCTAAACTATAGGCCTTATGAAATTCACTTTCCACATCTTTCGGTAACAGTGGGAGAAATGAGGTAAAGAAAAGGCCTTCATGAGACATCACCTATCCAGCCCAGAATACAGCAGGGAGACGTGGGGTGGAATTTGCCTTTGAGTGGGTTCTATGAAGAATACCATGGCCAAATTATTTTGGGTGGGAGGAAGAAACAAAAACACAGTAAATATCTCAAGACAGAACAAGCCAGTGGCCAGAAGTGAAGTTCCCCAAGTTAATTTCTTTGGCTATTTTCTGACCAACAACTGACAGAGATGACCAGGAGCCCAGGAGAGCCCTGTGTTGTCTAGGGACACACCAGATAGCTCTCCCTCTTTTCACAAGCCAGAGACAAGCCTTTTTGGTTTGGTGAAGAGTTGTGGTCCTTTTAGTTCTGATTGATTGCTTGTCTCACAACCCTAGTCTCTTCTCTTCTCAAGCCTTCCATTCTTCCTCTCACCAACATCTTAACTGAGGACCTGGCCTCCTCAGTGAGAAGATTGAAGCCGTTTGCAGTGAGTGCCTCCTTTTTCCTTTCCACTCATATTGAAGCCCTTTCACATCAACCCCACATTCTTCTGTTTCCTTCAGTTTTTTCTGGTGATCAGGTGGCCTTTTTCCTTGCTAAGGTCAAGCCCTTGTCCCACTCCCTTTCATGGGCTTCTGCAGAATGTTCCCACCATTTTCTCCTTGCTCTTTCATCTTCAGCCTCTATTTTTCCACTGATTCCTTCTCTCCAGCCTTGAAGCATGTCCAAGAACCTCTTGATTGATCCTCTGATCACCTTTAACTGTTGTCCCAAATTTCTTTTCCCTTTATTGCCAAACTCCTAGAAAAAGCTGCCTCTCCTTCCTCTGTTTTCATTATCTTCTCATCCCTTGACACTCTGGCTTCTACATGTCCTCACTCAACTGAAACGGCTTTCTCCAAAGTTACCAGTGATCATCCTGACTGCTGTATCTGACCATTGTGTCCTTTGACGCTGCCTATCAGGCTCTCCTCTGTGGGGTTGTTGACCCTCTCTGGTGACTCCTTTGGTCTCCTTTGCTGGCTTATACATATTGATGAATTGTCTGCCTGTAGAATAATAGTAACAACTAGTATGTGTGTAGCTCTCATAACAACTCTACTGGGTCTAGTAGGTGCTATTACTGTTTCCATTTCATAGATGAAGAAACGGCCTAAGGGAGGTGGAATGATTTGCCCAGGGTCACATAGCAAGTGACTGAGGAAGGATTTGAACCCAGGTCCTCCATCTAATTTTTCCTGTAGAAGTCACCTTTTATAGTCACAGATACAGATACACACACACACACACACACACATACACACACACAGAGAAAGTCTGGTGAATAGAAAGAATAAGAAGGTATCTACAGACAGTAAGATGAAATACAGGGAAAAGAACTTATATTAAATTTCTAATGCTTTTAAATGGTTTTTAGAATTCAAATGGATGACCAGTCAGGATCCATGGTTTTAATATGAAAAGAATACTTAAGTTAGAGCTATCTTTAGGGAAATGGAGTGGTCAGATGGCCAGGATATCCTTTTTATTGGAGGGTGTGAAATATTTTCAAATCCTTTTTGAAGTATGTAGTTACAAACGTATTAATTTCATCTTGGAGTTAGAGTTTGTTTTTTGGTCAGGTTAAGTCAAAGGGCTACTTGTCCACGATATCACATATCTTAGGTTCATGGTATTTAAGACCTCAGATATCTTTTTTTTATTTAAGAAAAAAAAAATGAAAGGCCCAGTGTTTGCTGCTTTCTGACTCATATAAGTTTAGCAGATTATGAACTAGAGAATCCTTTGGACAAACAGAGGCATATGGCAAGCAACCAGCGAAACAGTGCGAAAAGTGTTTCAGAGGCTAAAAACTGCAGGATGTGTCAGCGTCTTCTTCCCTAAGATCACAGAGAGGCACTGACTGTTTGATCTATGGAGCGATGCTTTAGTTAGTTCTCTCAGCTTCCCTTCTCTCGCGTTCTCTGGGTCTCACCTGTTGGTGCTTGTTTTCTCCCCTCCCACTTTGTCGTGTAGATCTGGGTACGGAAGACAAGCGACAGCACGAAGATGAGGATCTACCTGGGGCAGCTTCAACGAGGGCTCTTTGTGATCCGCCGGCGCTCGGCTGCGTGACACCCTTCCCTCCTCCACCGTGGCTTTTCCTCGAGTGGCTTTTTGTTTTGGTTTTCTTTTTTAAGAGAAATTAAATTTACAGGGAATAATGGCGACGCCACCTTGGAAACGGACAACACTGTGTTATGGATCCTGCAACCACTTGTGGCTGGCCACATACTCCTTGGATTAGTTCTGGCCCATCCATGCAACCACCCCTTGATCTCTTCCATACTTCACTTTGAGACTTTGTTCAATTCAGAGGAGACACACACGCATACATACACATACGTACATACACACTGTGTGTGCGTGTGTGCGTGTCTGTGCTCATGGGTTTTGGTTGGTGAAAAACGATTTCAGATGTCTTCATGTGTTTATACTTTTAAAAGTGGAGGGCAGGGTTGGGGGCGGCAGCATTTGCGTTTTCTTCTAGTTTAATATTTTGAATATATTCAAATAGAGCCTTGTCCCAGGTCAAGAGCTAGCTTTGCTATTTCCCCAGCAGTCTTGGGGCAGAGGTCTAAGGAGGAGATCAATTCTCCTGGTTCTCCGCCGCTGCTGTGAAATACTTTCTGTAACATCTGGCACATGCCAACAATTCCACTGGATGAGCAACCAAAAGATTTGCCCAGGATTCCAGGTGCCCTGGAAGAAATGGGAAGAAGATTAAGAAGTCATAACATGCTGATGTTACCATCTTTTCAATAACATTCAGTGCATGTAGTTACTGTATTCAGGCACCATTGGTTAAATCCCAAGATGCATTTGCAAGCCTTTTTTTTTTTAAATTTGGACCAAAAAAAAATCCTTTTGAGACGACTGTGTCTTGTTAGTGTATTTTCCCCTAACTTCAAATAGATGAAAAGGGGTACATACTGCAATCTTAAAGTTAATTGAGTTGTCCTCAAGTAGAAGGTAAAGGAAGACTAATAGCAATGGTATAATCACAGATAGGTGTGCTCCCACATAAAATTCCAGATTATTTCCTCTTGCTAATTCAGTTACAGCTCATTAACCATTCTGGAACAACTCACGGAAGAGACTCTTTTGGAGGGTAGTGCTCCTGGATTCTCCAAGGGCTGGCATCAGCTGAAGTGGAATTGTCCTGCCTTGACTGTTGGTGGACTGTGGCACTTGAGCAGACGGAATCCAGATGCCACATTGTACTTTATGCTCCTCATCATTCTCCACTCTCCCTCCATCTTCTCCTCCCCACTCCCCTTTTGATAACTGGAGAAATGACTCTATAGTATTTTCTATAATAGTGATGTCATTTTGAAATGTTTGTAGTGGCCTTGACTTTAGCACCTCAGAGGCAACTGGCAGCAGGAATCTATTCAGTCTGTTGTACATGGTCTCGTTTACCCTGAAAGATTCTTGTTAACCTCGTATCTCATGATACGCCACAGAAAGGACTTTGGGATTACCTCCATGAGGGTGTTACATCAGCAGAGACCAAGGATACTTGATTTGGAGCCGACATTTATAAAGCTTTGTTTTCAATATGATTTTAAGCCCGTTTTCTCTTTATTTTTCTTATTTCCAAAAATAGGATAAATGAGGCTATTGTTTGCACAAAGTTGTTGGGGTGTTTTAAAAAATGTTTCCCTTTCCCAGTACTGATCATGTCATATACCACAATCAGGCAATAGCCCTAGGTCGGCTTTCATTCGTGAATCTCCCTTTGACTTGTAGATCCTCCAGGCCAGAATTGTAGCACAGACTGGTCTGTGTCACTTTGTGGTTGTCAGGAACTTGTCACACCTGAATTTTCAGCTTTAGCAGTGCCACTTGGGTCTCATGGAAAAATTGGTCTTTGCCCCCAAATAAGTAACATAGTGGGCACGACTGGAACTTGTGGCTATCAGAAGGTGTGGGCTCACTCAGTGTGTTACATTTATACAAAACGGCTCATGGCAGTTTGAACAAGAAGGCATTTTTTCTGCTCGTCAACAGCAGTAGCAAACCTCACGAAATCCAATATACCAAAGTTTGATTTTCTCATAGAGAATTGTCCATGACCTCACCCAGTGCCCACTGCAGCACAGAAAGCTGTATTTTCTTTTTCTTCCATCAGGGGGTGTTTTCTGTGCTTTTGTACCAAGTTAGATTTGACCAATTTAAAAAAAGAGGAAGTCATGCTTTGAGAAGTTGTATGTGCCCTCTTCCTTCTGCAACTTTGAAAACCATTGAGACCAATAATAATCCACTATCTCCATCATCACTTATGCTCCCTGAGCACCATAATGTCCCATAATAGTTATTTTATGACTCTTAAGCTCACCTTGATCACGATCTAATAACTTTAAAGTGGGCTTTTGGAACACAGTGTGTACTAAGTTGTCTCCCCTATTTCCAGAAAGTTCAATTTGTATTTAATTTAAAAGTCTCTGATTGTCAACCAAGGAATTTTCTAGTAGTACTTAGGTTGCTCTTTCTGGTGGTCTGTAAGATAACCAGATGTGAGAACATCCCTCTCAAAAGATGGAGATTATTCTGTGATTGAGAAAATCTGTCGAAGGGAAAAGATGGATAGGCTTTGGGATAGATTAGAATTAGGAGAGGAGGGGAGGCTTCCGTTAAGACCCACTTGCCTTGATCAGGGCTTTCAACTCCAGACAACAGTCACTGTTGTAAAGATCTAGGATTATGAAATGTCTAACCCTAGGTCTCCAGGTTAACTTCTAAATTAAAATAGTTTCTTTCAAATAACTGGCTTCTTTAGCACATGGCACTTTAGAAAAGGTCAGTCCAAATCTGTTTTATAGTCTATGTATGTGTGTTTTTGTCAGGCATGCTTTCCTGCTACAAGGCTGCCCCTACTCCTATTGCATCCCTAGGTTAAAAGTGCTTGTGTCCTTTTTGGAAAGAATTTTCAGATAGCTTTTTGTAGCTGTGCCAAAGCCAGGATGTTTTGGGAAGGTTTGTGGCATATTTGGTAACCGTATTTGTGAACTACCAAATAAGTAGCTGTAATTTTTTGGTTGCCTTAACTGGGACAAAGAAGAAATCTCAGTGGCTCATGTGCAGTGCACTTCATTTTTGGGGGTGTGTTTGTGGTTTGATCTTTGTGAAGTGCTGTTTGGAACCTATGGTAGCATGTGGCTTTCCATGTCTGAAGAGTACTGGGGAGGGGGGGAGCCCCTGCTTTTAGATACTGGCTGTAAGTAGGAAGAAGTAACTTATAATTGAACCCTAAAGAAGAAAGCTAAGTTTTCTTATTGTAATATTTCCCTAGTCCTTGATTGTTTACTGATTTTGTCGATTAAAAAAAAAGTTACTCATTTATTTCTTGGGTTTGGGAATCTCACTACCACAGCTGCTTTTATGCCAACTTCCCAAAAGTTCAAACCACAGCAGCAGACCAGAAATGACACACAATTGCTGCAGTTCTGACAAATGTGGTAGACGTTTTGTATAAAAATTATTTAGTGAGTGTCCTTTGAAAGGTGAATGTAAATGCAAAATATTTTTTGCTCTCTTCCCCCCTAATAATAAGTCTTCCAAGAAGACTAATAGGTAGTCTTACTACTGTTGAAATGGTGTGTAACTGGGGATTTTAGATTTCGTGTATACCAAATGGTGGGAGAGCCACCAACCAGTGCCCATGAGGTCCTGTTAGCCATTGACTTCTCTGGGGAAAATCTGAAAAAAATGTTGATGTTTGAACATCGTTGGCTTCAAGTGGGAATCCAACCTTTGATTTTTTGTCACTTGGTTTTGCTTTGATTCTCAGACCAAGAAATCTGATCTTTAAGTGCAATGAAAGCATCACTAAATACTTCTCCATTACTTGAGGGGGCAAGAGACCTTAGTAATTAATACTGAGCTTTGGTGGGAGATATTATGTATAGTAAACTGTTTTGGAATGTATTGACTTAGTGGAATATTGTGGTTAATAGTTATATACACACCATATAAACGACCAATTTTCAAAGAAATAGAATGTGATAAAATATTCAAACCATACTATAACTTTCCTTTAATTAGAAGAAAATGATGCTTTCTGTGCTTTGGTCATCATGGTAAAGGCCAGTAAGGTTAGTAGTACTCTAGAGCATTCCATCTGGTATCCAGAGTATTCATTCATTTGTTGACTATTGAGGACTGCACACTTAGTAGGTGATAAGACAGAGCCCCTGCCTTTGTGGAAGTTACAGTCATAAGAAAGGCTTCAAGGGGGCAGCTAGGTGGCGTATTGGATAGAGCACCAGCCCTGGATTCAGGAGGACCTGAGTTCAAAACTACCACAGACACAACACTAGCAGTGTGACCTTGGGCAAGTCACTTACCATCACCTAGCCCCTCCCCCCCAAAAAAGGCTTCAGGGCCATGTCGTGAGGATTGATGAGAGGGAGACAAGATGTTGAGAGTGAAAAGGTGAGTATTTGAATAGTGGCAAGGGGAATCCTACAATGAGTGGCTATTGCAAAAGGAAAAAATTTTAGACTTAAAAGGAGGAAAGACTCATTAATCATGAGTACTGTCTGCAAGTGTAGCGGACCACCCTCAGAAGGTAGGTTGCCCTCAGTGAAGCTTTTCAAGAACAGGTTGGGGGCAGGTAGGTGGCGCAGTGGATAGAGCACCAGCCCTGAAATCAGGAGGATCTGAGTTCAAATCCGGCTTCAGACCAAACACTTGACACTTACTAGCTGTGTGACCCTGGGCAAGTCACTTAACCCCAATTGCCTAAAAAAATAAAGGAACAGGCTGGAGCCCCTTGTCACGATGTCCTCGTGGGGCTTCTTTGGGGATTTTGATACAGCTAGATGATCACTGAGGTCCGTTCCAGTTCTCAAATTCTGTTGTTCCGTGAAGTAGATGACACGTAAGTATATTGTATGTTACAGCTAAGCAATTAGTTACGGAATATAGTGTTTTTTCATATTTGGAAGGCTAAGTTGTTAAAGGAGTAAGAAAAGGCATCTGAGAGGAGGTGAAATTTGAGTTACACTTTGAAACGGATTCTTAACCTTTCATGTGGCAGGCTGGTAATAACTTAGGAGCTCCACAGCATAATGGTTTTTTATTTTATTCATTTTTTTCAATTTATTTTTAACATTCATTTTTTTTAGATATGTTGAGTTCCAAATTCTCTCCCTCCCCAACCTATTGAGAAGCAGTATGATATCAATTAGACATGTTTAGTCATGCAAAACATTTGCATATTAACCATGTTGCCAAAAAGAAAAGGGCAAGAAAAATTATGTGGAAAAGGTATTGCAGCACAATCTTTTTAAATGCATAAATATAAAATTCTTAGGCTTACAAAGGAAACCATTTATGTTGAGGTACAGTTATTGGTAGATTAAAACGAGTTTGTGGATTCCAGATTAATCCTTTTTTCAAAGGAATGGTAGAGGTTTAATAAAAGATGTGTGGTGGGGAGTAGGATGCTCCAGTTGGATGTAAGGTACTGAGTATTTCAGTTTGAATAGAGCAGAATAATAGCATTTACCCAGTGCTTTCAAGTTTGCGAAGTATTTTACAGATGATGAAAGTGAGACAGAGGTTAAATGACTTGTTCAGTATCATGTAGTTCATAAGTGTCTGAGGCAAAATTTGAACTCAAATCTTTCCTGACTCCTGGTGTAGTGCCTGGAAAGAAGCACTCAGAAGGCTGGAAAAATAGGGTGGTGCCAGATTGTGGACTGCTTTGAATGCCAAGCAAAGGAGTTTAAACTTACCTTAGAAGAAACAGGGAAAGCTGCTGATTTTTGAGTGGAGGTAGCAAAAGATCAAACCTGTGCCCAGAAAAGATTATTCCCTCAGTGGGTATGACGGATAGATAGGAGGGTGAAGAGAGTGAAGGGTTAAAAGATCTGTGAGAAAGCTATTATAGCCATCCAGGTGGAGGGTAATGGTAGCTGGGCCTGTAATGCCAGAGGCAGCTAGATTACTCAGTGAGATAGAGCACTGGGCCTGGAGTCAGGAAGACCTGAGTTCAAATTCAGCCTCAGACACTGTGTGATCCTGGGTAAGCCATCAAACCTCTGCTTTAATCCACTGGAGAAGGAAATGGCAAACCACTCCAGTATCTTTGCCAAGAAAACCCCATGGATAGGATCGGTGTGTTATGTGGGATCACAGAGAGTTGTAGATGACCAAACATCAACAGCCTGTAATGGCAACAGCGATGGGAAGAGATATGTGGAGGTGGGATCAACAAACCTTGGCTACTGATGGGTCAGTAAGTGCTACTGTGTGCTAGGCACTGTTCTAAGTGCTAGATGTGAAAGGTTAGAGGGGAAATCAGAGATAACTCCCAAGGTTGTGAACTTGGGGGATAGTTGAGGTGGGGCAGGGAATAGAAACCACAATCATTTCTTGATGTCTCGATGAGCTAGTCCCCTAACTACCTGGTGGCCTTAAAGTGGAAACTCCTTGAGTACTATTGAAGGAGAAATAAAACAAGTTATTCATGGCCACAGTAAAGCAGATGTTCTCAACCACTGTTGTAACAACTGTGTTTTGTCCTTCGGTAGGAGACACCTGCAGTTTTGTCTAAATGTATTTCTTTAATAATTATAGAAGTATGTGATCACCACTCCTTGTCCCCTGCCCTTGATTGAGAATGTTTTCTTATTGTAATAAACATAAATAATTATAATCAATCCTGCTGGTTATATTCCAAATACTCCCCCTTTTCTCTACCCTGCCCTCCTCTGTGACATGCTTAACTTATCCTGAGTTGCGTAGAATGCTGCTGATTGGCTGTGTACTCTTAAATGTTCCTGAAAAGTTATGAAATCCACATCTGCAGGCTGGGAAGTTGGAGCTGTTATCAGCGAGAATAAGCTGATTTAGCATGCTAATTGCTTTGCTTTCAGTCTGGCTTCTTATTTTGACTCCGTCCCCAGACCCCTGCTGACCAACACATCTTTCCCAAGAGATTCCATGCCTCTGAGTTCTCACACACATCCAGTGGTAGAGCCACAGACAAAAAGTCAGCTCAGAAGGAGGGACAAGTTTAGAGGGAAGACAATTTGGGGCCCCTTGAGTTTGAGGTGCCGGTAGAACTTCATCCGGTTGGCGTTGGAGATGCAGGTCTGGAGACAGAACTATCAGGATTGATTATACAGACGTGAAAATGTTCCTTCAGTAGAGGTAGGAGTTGAAGCTTTCGGAGCAAACATTTATTAAGCACTTACAGACAGGCAAAAACAGTCCCTACTTCAAGGAGCTCACATTCTTTTAGGGGAGACACCTTGTGAAAAACTAGTTACATTGTGTGTGTGTGTGTGTGTGTGTGTGTGTGTATACACATTTATTACATATAACATTAACACACGATATTGTAAAACGTATGATATATACACGTACATACACCTACGTTGTGTATGTGTGCATGTATGTATGTACACATTTATTACATATAACATTAACACACGATATTGTAAAACGTACGATATATACACGTACATACACCTACGTTGTGTATGTGTATATGTATGTATATACACATTTATTACATATAACATTAACACACGATATTGTAAAACGTACGATATATACACGTACATACACCTACATTGTGTGTGTATGTATGTATATACACATTTATTATATATAACATTAACACATGATATTGTAAAACATGATATATACACGTACATATACATGCGTTGTGTATGTGTGTGTATGTATATACACATTACATATAACATTAACACATGATATTGTAAAACGTACGATATATACACGTACATACACCTACGTTGTGTATGTATGTATATACACATTTATTATATATAACAACACATATTGTAAAACATACAATATATACACGTACATATACATACGTTGTGTATGTGTGTATGT